TTGAAATGAATTATCATCCTACTTCAAATAATTTGATTTTTTTTTTATTAGACAAGGGAACAGTAACCAACAGCTACATGTACATCATATTAAGAGGCATCATGATTTCCAGATTCAAAATCAAAGATTCATATTCTAGTTCCAGTTTATTTGTTCCCCATATCACAAAAAATATGGACATACATGTACGATACGTCATAATGATTCTCAATTCTGGGTAGATTAAGTAGAATATGAGGAACCTATTGAAAAGCAATGCTTGAATATTCCTGATTCCTGGTAAAATAAACATTGTAGATGTAAAAACCGTAGCAGTAGAGAAAAACTAATTTGGAGGGGGGGGGGGGGTTAAAAAACACAATAGAACAAGGGAATTTGGATACAAATGCATTAGCACATATATCCAGTCACCCAGTTAAAATGCGTAGTCACCCGAGCAATTCAGATTATAGCAAAGCACCGTTGAACATAATATCAGAGCATTTTCTATGTGATAATATATAATGCATATCAGACCAATTTCTGTCAATATGCAAACCGCATCGGATCTCAACCTTTTCAAGTTGATTTTCAGGTCTAACATGCACATATGCTCATCTTTCATTACCTTCCCGCTTTAAATTTTAAAATAGTGTCATAATGGCACATCATCTGGTTTTCTTTAAATCCGTACATCCATTCAAATGTTGAAAATATTCTGGTGCCACACTCATTTCACAATTTCTTTTCCCTACAGGAAATTATCAGTGTTAGTCAATGCAGGTAAAATTGCAGGTATTTATGCCATCTGAGGGCATTCTCGGGCCCCCAAATCATCCGATTGTTTTAACTTCTAAACTATGTATAACCCTAAAGATCTAACATAAAACACACACCCACCCACAAAAAGAAGAAAAAAAAGAAGAAATTTTGGCATCACTAGAAAAAGAAAGTCCAAGTGCTCCAACTAATCATCCAATATATCCTAAATCTAGCTACTAAAGCACTATTGACCAAGATACATGACACCAATCATATACACTTCAAACTATTGTGGAAAAAAATCAGTATCAGTGTTGAATCTACCTTTGAAATATTGGGTAGTCTAGATAATAAAAATTATAGCTGAAAAAGTAAGCCTTACACTATTAATGATACAGACCAACATTTAAAAAGGAAAAGAAACACTCACTCACTGCGTACAATGTAAATTCCAGTTTATGTTCATCCATCCAAGAACATGAATTATCCAGAAAATAAACCCCTCTTCATCAAGTAGGTCTGGAGTCTAGCCTATCATCTGCTTGATCCAGATTAAGATGTCATGAATTAGATAAATATCTAGATCTACTGTTGCATCTGCAATAATGAATGCGAAAAGCCGATTCTAAGTGAGGTCCATCTCAAATGAGACCACTATACACCAGGCCGATGTTTCTCTTGAGTGAATCCAATTCAAAACATTTCATTCCATATCGACGTTACAACTAGTACAAGTCGTCGAACAAAGGAACAAAACACATCCAATTCCAACTACTGGTGAAATAGCTTCTAAATAATCATTCCACCAGCACAATAAGTTCTTTTTTATAAATGTTGAAAACTTTTGTAGCTGCCATTAATGTTTCAGACGGTTAAGTATCGTCGTTTTTTACGTCTCGAAAAGATGTCCGCCCACGCACTCGTACTCCTCCACGAGCCAACCACCATGACACGCAAAGACTTGAATAAACTCTTTCATCTAAAGCGAGATCGGTGGGAAGGAACACGTAGCTAGCTGCTGTGCTAACCGGTACGCCGCGAGCGTACCACAGCAAGAACTTTGAGAGAGGGGAATTCCAAGTGAGGATCCGCAAAAAACTAGGGCTGACCAACGCAAAGGAGAGTAAAATTCAGAATATTTCAGAAAGCATGAGGAATTATGCACACTAGACAACACTTTACTAACACAACTAGCAAAAGTCATGGAGGATAATATTTATGAAAATGTAAATAGGTTTTTTAATAACTCACCTGAAACTTTGTTTTTGTTGATAGGTCTATGCTCGAATAATATCGCGATGTTTACATCAGTAGTTTTCCTAAATTTCCCGCGTTAGGAAACTTAGGCTCAGCTTTTTGTTTGCAAGTGCGCAGCGCGGAGCGCCGTTTTTGGTAACTGCTCTGAAATGATGTCATTCTTAGGCTACCAAATAAGGGACGGCCTCTTCCAAATTTGTGCGTCGAGTTAGTTCAATATCTTCATCCTTGAAAAGCAGAAGGAAAAAAAAAACGTACTTGGTTTATTCGACCAATGACAAAGTAGAGCCCCGAGTATTGCAACATGTCAGGACACGAATTCCCGCGCATTTCTGGCAAGGGCCCAGGAATGACAGAGCATTTTGTTCTCAGCAATTCTACCTTTTACCATCAGCGGTATAATCGGCCGGTCATTTTATAACATTAAATAGGATGATGGTTCTTCGACCTAAGGTGGCGCACTGCCATTCAATACATGACTATCTCTTTCTCCAGATCCAGGCCAGCATTAGACAACTGAAAAGGCAAGCCATAATTATTAAAAGAGGAAATCAGCCCATTATAAATTAGTTGATAACTTGATATTAATAAAATAAAAGGAAAAATGAAAGAAAAATATCAGTGACAGTTTGAGCAATATCCGAATAAAAGTAGCAAAGTTATGATTTTTGAAGTTGTCATCAGTGAAACACAATTTGGCAAAACAAATTGCGAGGTCCTCACATAAAATTTCAAAAACTTTCATTTTCTTGATTTTTGATGACGAAATAGATTTATTTCAAATTCAGCAGTGCATGTATGATTGAAAAGTTTCTTTCGGGAAAATTATACATTTTTGTATCTGTGAGAACAAAGCGAATGGGAGAGGACCTTGCAAGATATTTCACCGAGTTGCAAATTTGTGTTTAATTGATCGCAACTTCAACAATTTATAACTTTCTTACTTTTAATTGGATTTTGCTGAAATTTTACTGACCTGTTCCTGTCAATGTTCTGCTTTAAAACAAGACGGACTACCCGTCATCACACAAATCTCGTTACAATTTATTTCAACAATATATGAAATATTTCCAATTATAACTCCTGATCCTGCTGAATGAAGTATTTTGACGGTGTTCAAGACTTAACGAATCTCAGAGACCTACATGCCATGCATGTTAGAGTCCAAATGATGTGATTTTTATTATTCCAAGTTTATGCTTACCAAAGCCTGTGCCCATTTATTGTGCCCATAATGACCTCAGTCAATGTGTAAACACGAGTGTTTGCGTAAATAGTTTGACCGAAATCATAAGGGGTCATGAACTAGTTCTTGTTGAGGTCGTAGGGCTATTTGCCTGTCATGTGCTTCGCTTTCATCTCTCTCTCTCTCTCTCTCTTCTTCTCTCTCTCTCTCTCTCTCTCTCTCTTCTCTCTCTCTCTCTCTCTCTCTCTCTCTTAGAGGTGGTTCGGGGAAAGGGCGGATCGGGGGGGGGGGGGAGGGGTCCTCCCCTGAAAAAAACGGGTAAAATCACTTTAATTTTACCTTTACTTTTTTGGAGACGGGCCCCCTTCCCTGGTGTTCAAGGGGGGATGGGGAGGGGGAGGGGGAGGAGGGGGTGCGAGTTTCAAATTTCAAGGGCAAAAAAAAATTTAAAAAAATAGCGCTCCCCCTCCCCCCTCCCCCACTGAGCGAATTATCGGCTGGTGCGATTTTCAAATTTAAAATGGGTGCTCCTTACCCCTACCCCTTTCCCCCCGCTAATTCACCTGCTGGCTGTTTCGCCGCTAAATATTTTCTCACGAATTAGGCCTCCTCTTTGGCCTCCTCCCAGTTGCCGCCTGCTGGATCCGCCCCTGGTTCGGGGTACTTGCGGTAGAATTTGGAAATGCTTGCACTTCTTTATATGCATCATGAATTCTTTGGCTATTGTAAACGAACAATATTAGCAAGATAATAGGGACTATGTTATTTGACAGATTTCGGACATTCCCAGCAGAACCATCGTAGATTATAAGAGAAATAACTTTCATTATTTGCTGGAGAGAAAGAAGAAAAATTGGAGCAACTGATTGGTAAAAGTTTGAGGTTAATCGAACAAAGAATTCGACATGTAAAACCTTCTATTGGCAGTGTAGTTACCCTTCGTGATGTAATCCTGAAATTCTCTCTCTCTCTCTCTCTCTCTCTCTCTCTCTCTCTCTCCCCTCTCTCTTTCTCTTTCTCTCTCGCTCCCCCTCTCGCTCCCCCTCTCCCACTCTCTCTCTCTCTCTCTCTCTCTCTCTCTCTCTCTCTCTCTCTCTCTCTCTCTCAGTATTACTGGCTTTCAATAATATTTCACAGTATCTTTGCTCTCCTTTCATTTCCTGAAATGTAAATACATGCATTCTCCTTAAGGCACATTATAGAATCTTGAATTAAGAACAAAGAAGAAGAAGAAGAGGAAACATAAACCACACTACATAGGATTATTATAATTACCTTTTGAAAACACATACTTCACATTTATGGGAAGTAAAATTGTATGAGTGGTGTCTTTTAGTATGGAAAATTTGACCTTTCTCTGGACTAAATGACAACCCAGATACATCTATATCTACACATAATATGTTCTTTCTTGGTAGACCATTTTGGTCAGTCACGACAAGTGTTTTGTACTGTGGTATGAATATTATTCCTTTTCGATTTCCCTTACCAATTACACTGTAATTCCAACCGATGTCCCCCCTTCATTTTGCTGGTTTTGCGAACTGCCAATCATTCAGGTTAAAAAAAAAAATTAAAAAGAAAAGATCATTTTTTAAAGACCTAATAAATGTGAACAATTTTTATTTTTCTAACTAAGTTCGTTTGTTAATATGCATTTTTTTGCAATTAAAAATAAATAAAAAGATGTTGTTTTAGGAAATTTGAAGGAATTATAAATTATAGCTACCGCCGCATTTTCACGGTTCTGTTTGTTGCTCCTAACCTTTAAGATTTGGGGAACCCCCAAGACTTTGTTTACAAACATCGGTGACCTTTTTTCTCATAGCTGATGCATTGTGGGATGACTTTACAAACAGAATGGCGGCCAAAGCCGGGGATAGCGACGAAAGTACTGGATTTTTACAACCTTTGAAGTAAGATATTCTTTACGTTTATTACCACGTTAATAGTCAATATGTACATGATGTTCATGTACTTGAAGGCTTAATGAATTTATTCGTTTTGGGGAAATGAAGATAACCGGGATCGGGAATAGGTAAGGTGATGTTTATGTGGCACTGCTGATTTTGAGGGGAATCGTGTCTACCAATTGCCCCGAAACACCGGGGTGGATATTACTCGCGTACTGGTTCAGTGGAGAGTGCGCGTGATTTGTTCCGTGACTCAGCTCCGTCTCTCTCTGAATGTGATGCATGTCGGCGCACCTAACATTTGACTTGAAACTGACATGGCTTTTGTTTTATATTCCTATTTATTGTGCTTTGTCTGATGTTATTCCTGATCATAGGTCTATTGACTAAGTAAGAATAAAGGCTCGTTCAGTAAATTCAGATGAGGGTCTACATAGGTGGTCTATGATGTGGTGAACCACCAGCACTGCTGCAATTTTGTTTAATTCAAGTGTGTAGGCCGAAATGGATCCGGGCTAACTTGGACCAGGGGACAACTTGGCCCAGCTGCAAAAACGGTCATTTTTTGTCATTTTACCCTAACCCTAACCCTAACCCTAACCCTAACCCTAAACCTAACCCTAAACCTAAGCATGAAAAAACTGACCGTTTTTGTACCTGGGCCGAGTTAGCCCGACTCCGCCGAAATGAATGGCTACAGCACGCGACAATGTAGTTCCTGAGCACATTCACTGAACTCTGATACAGAAATTTAATTGTATTGCACTGCCACAGTTTTGCCACATCATACCTGAACGAGGCTTAGAGTAAAGTAAAGTAAGTAAGTAAGACAAATGCCAAAAATCTCATCAAAATTGAAGCCATAACAGTGTCATTACAGATCTCTAATACATCTTTTAGGGGGAAAGAAACAGGGTCAAGCCCTCTATGCTGGTACTTGTCAAAAGCCTTTTCAACAACTAAATTAAAAAATGCTTCCATTTGAAAAATATAGATTTTGATGGCCTACAAGTTGATCCATACATGTTTTACTTAAGGTAGACCTCTAAGTTAAATCTCTGCTTTAAAAAAGATTGGTTGACATTTTCGCAAGAAAAGTTTGAAAAGTTTGAATTACATCATTAATTATATAGATATTTAATGGAAAATCAAAGCGTGCTCTGAAAAAAAAAGAATTCCAATCTAAAACATAATATAATTTTTATTTAAATAATGTAAATTTTGCTACATGTACTGTTAAACTACAGTAAAAAATATTCAGTAGCAAAATGGGGGACAGAATAAAAGAAATAAACCCTAGCAAAATACACTGAGCACAAAATGATTCAAATTTCTGTGTGCATGTACATTGTAATGATTGTATGTATGTGTGCAGTGTATGCACATTGGCACATGTACATGTACCAACTACCATTATTTCTTTGTACATATATGTACACTTTGTGCATGTTCAGAACTTACCTGTTAAGATATACATTTGTCTTTCTATAGAATCAATCCTTGTAGATATAAATAATCCTCTTTTTCCTTCCATCCTCACAGAAGCTCATGTGGAAAATGGAAGCCCCCTCCCAGAAAGCATTGTATTGCTCAGGTCACAGGAGGATTAGGAGAAATTTACACAAAGATAGAATCTGGTGGGCAAAATTCAGATGAAGGTAAATTTGAACAGTATGTAGCTCACTGGTATGAATGTAATTTAGCATTAGATGTTATCATACTTGAAAACTATTAACCTTTATCAATGTCGGTAGTGTAAAATCATTAAGAATTCCAAAGTCATGTGCTCAATATTTTCACTTTTAAGATTTACTTTTGATGTACTTTTTTTCTCGCTTGCGTAGCAAAAAAGGGAGACATAGGCGCCGCTTTTCCGGTGACGGCGGCGGCGGCGACGGCGTCAACATCAAAAACTTAACCTAAGGTTAAGTTTTTGAATTTTTGATATAATTTTGAAAGTTTAAGGTCTTAGTCAATGAAACTTGGACTATAGGATTATCAAGTATCCCCAATCATGTAATTAGTATTTCAGGTCACTAAGTTAAGGTCAAAGGTCATTTTAGGTCAACAAAATTAGACTTTGTTGTGGCATCAACATTTTGAATTTTTTAGCATATTTTCAAAATTGATTGTTCAAATTCCATGAAACTTGTACCCAAAGGTTATCAAGTATCACAAATCATATGACACAAATTCCAGGTCACAAGGTCAAAGGTCAGTAGACTTGGATTATGTTTTCACAACTTAATATGAGAATTAATATTTTTTTTAATTTGTTCATATTTCATGAAAGTTATTAATCTTGGTAGAAATAATAGTAAATAATTTTTCTAATGTTTCTTTGTAAATATTCACTTCAAAATGATGATTGTGTACAGAGGATTTCAATTTTGGGGGCCTGCTAATGGGCCACCCTGCCTATAAATAATGTCCCAACCTCAATTTTTCATCATATCGAATTGCGTAATGCAGGCAAGACCACCGAGAGCGTTCCCCTTGTTTTCCTCTAATGGTCAAGAAAAATATTTATGAAGAAACAGTTAGAAGTGTAAATCTTGTAAATGTTTTGCATATATACATTTGGCTTCATCCTCAATTTTTATAATTATGAGATGAATTTTATCATTTCATGAATTGTGTTATTCTTATTTGTTTTAGATTTTTCAAAGTGCATCAATGAAGACAACTTCTTCCAACCAAATTCTAAAGGTGAGTGCAGTTTTATTTGAGAACATAATTTTTCTTTTAGTTCTCTATTAGTCTAATTTTCCTTATCAAATCTCCTTCTTTCTGCTTCTCTGTTCATTGCTAGATTTATACATACCTGTACTTGTATGGAATATGTGTATGTACTCAGTATGATAATTGTTTACCATTTAAGCTTAAGGGTGAAAATTGACAGGTAACAGCATCTAGATAACACATATACTGGTACATAATGAGGCTTCCATAAAAAAAGTATAGGAATAACTTAATTCAAAGTAATGATCTTTTCTTTTCTACTTTGTGAATGACTGACTATATTTTACATCCCCCCGCCCAATTTATTTTTCTAAAGGCGGGCTAATGGCAGGGCGATACCAGGTGATACGTGTACTTGGTCGGGGTAACTCCTCAACCATCTTACAAGCCCAAGACACCTTCAGACCAGGTCTCTATGAGGTAGCCATCAAAGTCCTCAAACCAGAATACTTCAGTCTGGGATATCAGGTATGTACAATGTATAAAGCAAAGGCTGTTGGAAAAAAAAAAAGAGTTTTACTTTCACTTTTAGATAAGATGGATTTTGACTAGAAGTGAAGTAATATTAGCCTTAACTGCACGTATTGACAAGACTAGACAAATCAAGTATAGTTAAATATAAAATAAGAGATTAGTGAGAAGTAATACCAATTTTCAAAGAGAATATGTCATTTTTTTAAAAACAGAAACGTGCAAAGGCACATATGATAAAGTGCCATGTATATTCTCCTTCATTCAGAAAATGTTTCAAAGAAGATGTACATAGGAGAAAGAAAGCGGAGAATGGATTTAGACATCACATTACTTGTAGGTAGCTTAGCCGAATGTAGTGGGCAAAATGCATCACACAGAAGTAGAACTACATTGCTAGGCTATGGAGCTGGTAAATGCATATACACTGTACCATCTCAATGAGGCTGATGTTAGCTTTCATTCACATATATGTCAAAAAAGAATGTTTAATTAACAAACATCACTGATTATTTTGTGTTCCAGATACATCTTTTTTCCCCACTTTATTTCGCTAAGCTTCTTAAGGGGAAAAAAGATCCCCCCCCCCCTCTGCCAAGATAAATGAATGTGGAAAATAGCATTATGAAATGGCCAAAAAGAAAACCGAAATTGGTATACATGCTGTTTCATAATTTGCAAGCTCTCTAAGAAATTTATATTCAGAAGAACTAAGAGATAGCTTTAGTTATCACTTATACTGTTTTCATGACAAATTATACTAATATGATTATGTGATCACTGATGTACTTCAACATTCAGTTAGCAATTTTCTTAACCATTTCAGGAGAGTCACCTTATTGCTGAGCTGAATAAAGCAGATAGTCACAACTTCTGTGGCATTGTCAAACTATTGGTAAGTTAATATTTTTACTTATTGATTTTAAAGGGATCCAGTAACCTTGTCTTAGATCCTTTAAATAAATCCTTGATTTAGCTCATGCTGCAATGATAATTAGTCAGGCAGGAACCCCATGACTTTTACAAGCCGATTGCCTGTTTGATTATCAAGATATTTATGATTGAAAATTGAAATCCAATTTTGCGTTTGCCAAACGGTTTTCATAACACTACAGTCAACTGGGGAAAACGAGTATGGCAAAACCAGTCACTCAAAGGTTTTTACTTTTTTGAGGCACTTCTTGATTATTTTGAAGCGCAATTTTTTAGGGCTTCAATATAACACCATATCACAGACAATGTTAACACGTAGTGCCGTGCATCTCAGATTTAACATTGTTAAACGACCCCTTTAAAATAGCCCAAGACGCAAAACAGCTTGTTGTACTTGAGCTTACAATTTTCTATCAGACAGCGTGGATTTACATAGGATTAGCTCAAATTTTATCACAAATATCCCTCAAATGGAACAGGAAATGCATGATTAACATGCATTGCTGACAAGTGTTATTCGCATTTTAGGTTAAATATGCCAGCCTAAGGCTAGTTTTGTGTTAAATAATACTGTTTATGATACTGTAACAAGTGCACCATTATCTAATAACCAAGAGTGGTTGCAGTATTTAAGGACTGAAGAGTTAAGGAATTGCTTACATTATATAAGTTTTAGAGTTGTTGGGAATTTATGTAGTTAGAGGCAGCATAAAAAATACACAGCAGCAGTGATCAATTTAGCTCTGGTAAGCTCTAAAAGAACAATGGTAAATTGAAAAAGAGTTATAATAATAAAAAAAATAATAATTTAATATCATTGTGAGTAAATCCCACTATTCAATATACAATATCAAATCATAATAGAGCTCCCACAAACAGAAAAGTATTATTCACACTGGTTAGAGCGGAGGCAATTTTTTAAAGAAGTAGATAATGGAACTGGATTACCGGTAAATCAGATAAATTCTGACCCCAATTTTATCATCCCTCGCTTTGATATATATGAGAATAAAAGTAATTGTCAATATACCGGATATCCATCTTCTGATTGCTGAACCTGTACCAACTCTATGCATGTAATCAGTGACTTTGACTATATAAAGCAAAAACAAAGTGTTATATGTTTTAAAAAAAGCAAAGAAGCAAGTGACATTTAATAAGAACATATCTAATACATTTACATGTACACTGTATGTCTAGTAGAGCATTTATCATAATAAATATGTAGGAAGAGCATAATCCAGTTTATTCATGGACTGAACTGCTTGGTATAAGCCGTTGTGTCCAAGTATTGATAAGGCACTATTGTTGGTATGTTTGTTTTTAGAACACATTCACACTGGGATCATTTTTCTGTATGACCTTTGAACTCCTGCGCCCATATCCCCTTCATCAAGTGTTCAAGAAGATAGCTGACAAGACAGAGGTAAGTGCAAAAACATGAAGCGTGAAAGTGCTCGGTCTTTGGTGGTGTCGATATTCCAGTTGTGTTGTCTATCTCATAAAATCTTGTTTTGTGCAAAGCATCCTTTCAAAATTGCTTTCATAATTATGTATTTTGAACCAAGTTGCTGATACCTTGCATTTACATATTGATTGCTTTTCAATTTGCGGACTTCCTGTCTCTTTAATCAATGTCTGTTCACACACAACAACAACAAAAATTGAAAAGAAAAAAAAACACTCTTTTTGTATTAAAAAGATATCTTTTAGATTTCTTTGTACAGAAGGCACTTAGTATTCAGTCTATAACGCATATTGTTCAAGTAGTCTTTGTAGGAAAATTATATGATGAAATCCTAAGCATTGTATTTGTAAGATTTCTTTTTAGCAGAGAGGTTGTAGATGATAACTCATTGCCTATTGGAACCGGGCGGTCCGTGCATTAACCCTAGGGAAAAAAGATAGTTCAGTAGTCAGCGGGTTAATTTTTTGTATTGTAACACTCTGTGATATCATATGTAGAATAAGACCTGTGTATTGCGTTTGTCTGTTTAAATCTATACAATAGCACCACCCTGATGAAGATTGAGAGAATGTTTTAACTATTTTTTTCAAATACCAGTAGCTTTCTTTTGATATGAGTTTGCAGTGTGATGAAAAGTGATGAGGAATAATGTAATCAAAAATGGAAAGGAGGAAAGAGGTGAGAGAGAGGAAAAGAAAAAAGGAAAGTAGAATAGTAAAGAGAGAGAGAGAGAGAGAGAGAGAGAGAGAGAGAGAGAGAGAGAGAGAGAAAGAGAGAAAAAGAGATGAGTAAATATTTTGAAAAGTATTTGATATGATTTTTATAATGATTTTTCCATGTAGAGATGATTTTTGTTCATCAAGGAGGATTTGCAATAGCTTTATATTGTAATTGTTAAGCAATGTTTGTACATCACTGGCCTTAAGTGGCTTCTATTTATACCAGCATTGTTGAAGAAAATCTTTTGTATTTCTACCTTATTTCTTCTTAACAAAAGGCACTTAGCATTCAATCTATAGTGCATATATATATAACAGGTAATATCAAAACAATTCTATCTTTGCTTTCAAATCATAAGCAGTTCCTGTATTTTATTGAGCATCAAAGTTTCCTTTCTTTTTAGAGGGCATTATGAAATATCAACTTACGGTATTAGTACCTGAAATGACCTCCCTCTAATTGCAACAGAAAATATCTGTTTTGGTATCATAAAATGCACTTACACTGTAATAACATGCAAACAGTTCTAAGGAATCAAAGTGGTGGAAAATTTTGAAAATTACAAAATTTCAAGGCTAATTATGAACAGAGCAGATTATAAATATAAACAGGCCAACTCAGTTTCAGATGTGTGCTAGCGTAACATAGCAATCTGCACCATGCATTCAATTTTAATGAAAACAATCTATAGATGTAGAATCAGAGTGGAATTGGTGGAAAAATACATTAATTGAGATATGTGACAGGCATGCCCCAGTTGTTTCATTGAGAGTCAGGGGTATAACCTAAAAGACACCCTGGGTTACCCCCGAGTTTGTTAGATTGTCTTATGAGCGAGACAAACTCAGAAAAAGGGCCAAAAACTCTAGTCACCCACAAGATTGGAGATACTTTAGAGCTTTCCGAAATCATATACCGGTAAACAACCTAAGAACTACCCTCAAGAAAGCATACTGCCATCAGCAGATTGTATCGAACAAGAACAATCCTTCTAAATTATGGAAAGTTCTCGAGAGTCTTGCCCCAAACTCAACATGTAGCATACCCACTAGCTTAAACCTAGAAGATTGTCCAAGACCGAACCTCTCAAACTGGCTAATGCATTTAATCAGTTCTTTGTGTCGATCGGGAGTGAACTTGCTTCCAGATACCCCCCCTACAGAATGTACACTCACTTATGATGGACCCGAATCATTTGTTTGATGTGCAAGAAGATTTTTTGCTTAAAGAGTTACAATCCATTAAAATTGATAAGGCAACTGGCTTAGATGGAATCAGTGCCAGGCTACTGAAGCTAGCTGCTCCTATCATTAGCAAACCAATTACCAGATTGTTTGATCTATCTCTGAGATTGGGAGTAGTCCCTCAAGAATGGAAACAAGCGAGGGTTACCCCCATCCATAAAGGCGGGGACAAGGTCAATGTGAACAACTATCGCCCAATATCGATCCTACCAACAATCATGAAGGTACTGGAAAAGGCTGTGCACTCCCAGCTTCATGATCATTTGTTAGAGTTTGACTTGCTTAATGCTCAACAGTCAGGTTTCCGAAAAGGTTACTCAACGAATACCTTATTGACATACATTGTATGTTACCGATAACCTGCACAGGAATATTGATAGTGGTAAATTAACAGGGATTATATTTTTAGATATATGAAAGGCCTTTGATTCCGTTGACCATAGGAAGTTGCTCGAGAAGTTATACACATATGGTGTACGTGGTAATACACTATCGTGGTTTGAATCGTACTTAAAAGATCGTTATCAGTACACACTGGTGCAAAGGGCAAGATCTGATATACAGGTTCTCCAGTCAGGAGTACCTCAAGGGCCTATACTCGGACCCCTGCTGTTCACCCTCTTTATGAATGATCTGCCTAATAGCATTGAACATAGTAAGGTGATGTTGTATGCAGATGATACAGCGATTATATTCAGTGCCTTAAACCCAAAGCACATAGAGAGTACATTTAATAGTGATCTAGACAGGATTAAATCATAGCTTTACCATAATAAACTATCCCTTAATACGGACAAGACCCACTTTTTACTTGTAGGGACACCCCAAAAACTACGACATAAAGATAGATGGTCTGCAAATTAGACATGTAGAAAATGTGAAATATCTTGGGGTCTGGTTGGACCAGCACCTTAACTGGAATGCAAAATTGCTTCAAGGTTGGCACTGTTGAGACGTGTCAGAAAATATCTAACAAGAGACAGTGCCAAGTTATTAGCAAATGTACTGGTATTACCATATTTTGATTATTGTTGCACCTCATTGTCAAATTGTAATCTAGGTCTTCGGGATACACTGATTAAGTTGCATAAACAGATGGCTAGGATTGTTCTCCAAATGAATGTACTTACACCAAGTTCAGAAATGTTCTCAAAACTCAAGTGGATGAACATGGAAAAACGTTGGAAATTCCAGAAATGTAAACTTATGTTCGATATTGTAAATGGTATTTCCCCCTCATATCTTCAAGATATGTTTACTCAGTCTGCAGCAACACATCGTTATAGCACTAGAATCGCTGATACTCGTGGATTAGTCATCCCCAAAGTTGAAACTGAAAATGGTAGACGGGCCTTTTCTTTTGAAGGTGCAATGACCTTGAACAACCTCCCTAGTGAGATACAAAATGCCCAAACCAAGCAGTCCTTTTGCACCAGTTATTTGAGAAAAATGTAAATATAACCCAAAACATAGTACACGCAAATAAGTAGCCTCTATCACAAACTTGAATATTTAGTAATTACCAATTGCAGATCACTGTATTTTTCACAAATATCCTACAAATTACAAATAATTATGTTTAGACACACTGTCACTACAATTTTTTCTTCTTCAAATTTGTTTATGTATGATTTTCTGGATGACTTGATTTTTTTGGATTTTTTGTTTACCGGTACATGTACTTGCTGAGTTTAAATTTACATTTGAGATTTAATCTGTATTCTTTCTGGTATGTTTACTATTCACCATGTAATGATGTTTTCATGTACATGTATATGTATGTCTTTATATGTATTTTATGTTATGCAGGGCCCCCAAGTATAACAGTATTTTAACTACTGATGGGGCTACCCTGTTGAAATAAAACGAAATACAGTGTAAATAAAATAAAATAAAATTAATATCGATGGCTCTGAGCAATAACTTATGAGGATAATAATAATAATAAATATGTGTTCTTGTATCTGTCATATTTGACACTCCTGGCGCTCTGATGAAAGCAAATAAATTACATTTCAAACTATAGCAATACGATGTAATACTAAATTTAAAAAAAGTAATAAATAAGGTATAAAAAAGAAAGAGAGAAACAGGTTTAGTGATAGAGGGAGATGGACAACAGATAGAAAGATATTAAGTCCATGAGAGAGTGAGGGACAGAAAGAGGGAGAAATAAAGAAAGTTAAAAAAAAAGGAAAGTTGGAGTTAACTACTTAGTAGTTAGAATACATCAAAATGTAGTTTGAGGCTTTCTGTTGACCAAACAAAAAACTATATTTCATAAATTTCTGCTGTAAATGATATATTTTCCTTTTTTTTTTTTAAAGGTAGCTGTTGTTAAACATGGAACTTAATTTTATAGGAGTAGAAGTGGGACATCGTAGACAAATAAGAACATTGGCCCGAGAGAGTAGGTGTTAAATTTCATACATTTTAGAGTCAAGTCCCATCACTTTGCATGAAGGGCATAGGATCATCCAAGAGAGTGAAACTTAGACCGATACTGGTGATACAAACTTGTTGTTATAGACGTTAGGATGTCATACATGTAGGAAACGGGATGATGGATAGCACATGTCGATCCAAACACTGTTCATGTTCAACTTCACCTGTTATTATTCTCTGTACTTTCATGTGTACTGGAAGGAGAAAGTACAGAATAAGTTCATGCAATTCAAAAGGTGCCACTTTTAATGCAAGACCTGCCAGATATACCATGCGTGATTAACTCTTGAAACACCATTGTGGTGCAAAGTGAATCAAACAAATAGCATGTATGATTTGTGCTCTGTCAACTAAGCTCTACTTAGTTTTTCTTTCTAATTCTTCAATCTTTTGAGAGAGAGTTAAAGAGAGAGAGAGAGAGAAGAGAGAGAGAGAGAGAGAGAGAGAGAGAGAGAGAGAGAGAGAGAGAGAGAGAGAGAGAGAGAGAGAGAGACGGAAAGAGAGACTGGCATTCATGTGTAGATGCTCACTGGCAGACAGAAAGATAGAGGAATGGATATACATGTACAGATTGAATGAAAGATGAATTTATGGCATACATTTGATAAACATGAAATTGAGTAATGAAGAGAAAGAGCGAGAAGAGGGGGAATTTTGAGAGAGAGAGAGAGAGAGAGAGAGAGAATGAATAGGAGGCAGATGGAGAGAAAACTAGAGGATGCAGGGAATAATTTTCCTCAAATTTTTTGATTAGCAATTTCAGCCGATGGATAAATATTTCAAATGAAATTCTGTACATTTCTATGGAAGAAAACTGCTACACACAAGATATTTTGTATAGCAGTCATGCAAAAATGCATAGCAAATTGCGATGCGATACCAGGAAAATTATTCCCTGGGATGAGACAGATAATGTAGGTCAGGAGATTCGGACAAAGAACATGTTATGAGAAAAGTAAGGATGGGGAAAATCCCCAGCTCAGTTGATTTAAGAGCGAAATGAACTCTTGATAAACTACGTTCTGCTTTAAGTATTGTTTAAAAGGCTCCTAAGAAGTGGATGGAACATACAAGTCTCACTGGACAATCAGTGTTCTGTCTCCAGAGGGATCTCACAATGTATTTAAAAAAACTTTCATGAAAATAAGAAAAAAACAGAAAGAAAATGGTATGATGAGGGGGATTAATGTAAAGATATAATTTTTTCGTTCATAAATGCTCAAGTGACCTACATGTATTGCGAGTCATTTTTGTCCGCTGTCTGTATTC